GATGAAAGGTCTAAGTAGTGATACGAGTCGTATCTACTACAGTAGCTGAAAGGTTAAGACTATAGGCTTCCGGAAGCTCCGGAAGTGGTCTTTCAGAAAGGTCCCACATTAAGTCAGCGCCAAGTGAGAAAGTGATGAGTCCTACCGTGCTGAGTCAGTGGTACCAGTCCCAATCGCACTTAGTCCAATCAATAAGTATCATGTGGGACTCTGCGCACCAAGGGTCCGGTGAGAAAGGAGAAGACCAGTGATCAACCGAAGTATAAATCAAGAGGCAGCGTCCAGCCATTCATTCATTTAGACTATTGAGTAGTGTGGAAGCGCTGTCCATGCGTTTCTATGTGAGGTGGTCAGCAGATGTCCGAGGTTGAAGTGAGACCAACTTATGGGTCCTCAACAATTCACTTTTAAACAATTCGGCACAGACAAACTTTAAGTCTCAAAAGGTACATAAATCCCTTGGGATTTTCATACATTTTTTTATCAATCAACTGTGTTTTCTCTTCTTATACTTAAGATCCTAGTCTGTCTGTACAACAAACTACTCAAGTGTAGAAAATAGTAATCAATTCATACATCTCACATTCATAAGTCACGAGGTACCCCATGTGCACTTGTTCATACAAATATCGTCATCATCAGGATAAGTCTGTACATGTGAGAGTAATTCTGATTGTCGGATCAAAGAAATAGTCACAAGTTTCAAATCTCAAATATACTCACAACGATAGTCTCAAAGTCACACATGTACTCAGAGTTAAACAATTTCAACTCAAAAGTGAAAGCGGGTGATCCCTATGTTACCAATATACTAAGAGTTAGAAAGTCTGAACTCGAAAGAATCAGAAATATCCACAAATAACCAAAGTTAAAAATGGTTTTAATCATAACACTATTTGTAGAAATAAACTCAAAGAAAACTCTCATGCCCATCTCACATGTCATATATATAATAAAATCAAAATTTATTTAAAACTTCAAAAGTTTAAACTCGGTATTACCTTAATCCTCATATCACTTATACACAACCTTCACAATTCACATTCTAAGGTAGGGAGTCTGACATACGTAGTTGGAAAAACACCTCCTAGCCATATCACACTACACATATGTAGAGTTACCTGGATCTAGAAAGAAAATAAATTCACTTTTTTTTACCTTCACTATCAGTCATCTATACACTTAGGACTGAAGAAGTTTTATCACCCACTCCAATGCGTCAGTGAAATGGATCCTTATCACCTAGATCTCATTCTTAAGACCACTTACTCACCCACTTGCTTACGACTTTAATATGTATGAGTTGAGATAGTCCTAACATGCTTTATATGTACAATTATTTATTAGGATTTATCTATAAGTTACTCATATCTCATGTTTGTAACTCATGTTGCCTTACCAGACCTTATTGTTAAAGCCCCATTCACTCCTCAGTTTTAATGACAACTATACTACTAGTTTTCTTGCTCATGAATAACACCTATGAAACTCTTCAAATCTTTCTTATACAATTTTATTTTCTCTCTATCATAGTCAAAAGACAGTGTTTGACACTTCAACTTGCCGTAAAACCTCCTTCTGCGTCCCCAAAGTATGATTGAATCAATATAGTCCCCAACCCTTTCGAAGACGTCCCCTTCAATATTAGTACTTATTAGACAATTCTCTTCATCAATCTTTATGTCATGACAAAACTTCATTGTGTGTCCCTTCTTGGGACAATGTCTGCAAATCACATTTCTCCAATTTGTTCTCTCTTTTTTAAATCCTTGTCCACCATCTGAATCCACTTGATCTCGACTCCTTGCTTTTCGTTGGACATTGGTTAGCTAAGGGCGCTCACACATCCTTCTTTGCTCACCCATTTCCTTTTTTTTTTCCCTTTCTTGATTCCCTGACCACTTTTTCATGATCTTCATGAGATAAAGGAAATCTTGTGCATCACTATCTGTTTTCTCCCCATCTCCATCTGTCGATTTGTCCGATAATCTTTCGGATATTTTTCGCTTGCCTCTCCTGACTTCTTTCAATCGTACCATCCTCTCTTATAATATCCCAAATATATTTTGTTCACCGGTCGATTCTCCTTGCGTTGACGCATCTCCGACCACCGGCGTAACTTGAAGGATTTCATGACGTTGGTTAATAACTCCTCCTTTGAAAAAGCTTACCCTCAGAGAGCTCTCGAACTCATCCCATGTTCGTGACTTCAACAAGAAAGTACGTACTTCCCCGCTCAGGTCCTCACAAACGAAGAATGGAAGCATACTCGATATGACCCTCTCATCCCACCTTTTCATGAAGCTAAAGTTGCGGTAGCCATGTACGAATTTAGACAAGTTCATTATGCGAAACAACGAGACATGAAGATCTAGGGTCATCGAGTCATGTACTGAGTCGCACAACAACACCTTCGTGAGGCACGACCTCCCCCAAAGCAGGTTCTTAGTTAGTTAATTTTCTTCAACCATGATTTTGTTGCTGGTCTGAACATGCATACAAGCAATAGAACATCAGGCTGTAGCCTAAAAAACTTTACAAATAAGGGCAAATAATGTTGTCAATACTCAATTACACTACCTCTTTAATCGCCCACATCGCAAGGCTTTAGACCTTAGGGATACAATAAACAACACACAGCCGCAGACAAAAAGTTTAAACAAAGCTATAGGTCGATAGTAGGGGTTGTTGCAACTTCTAGTAGTCATGTACTCGCACTCAAGAGTAAGATGGCCATAGATGAACCCTTAATTTTTTTGGTTAAACGATGGAAGCGCTTGTTAGATATGGAGGCAACCTCTACCAACATGTTGCTGCCCGAACCTCATCCCAATCTTTAACTATTTCGTCTGACTCATGAGAACTGGCATAAGCGTCAACAACATTAGCCATATTTCTAAGCCATTCGCTAGAGGGTAAGAACCTTAGGTCTAGGTACAGACCATGTATCATCTCGCACATGTAACGCTCATATCCTTACCCTCGCGCCGTCAAGGCGGCTTCCGTTAACGGAAATTCAAAAATATGTGCGCTCGCTAACGTGCAAGAAATAACCAGCGAAAATCCTAAAACAAGAAAGCTGCAGCAAGAAGGCATGCACATGAATGAGCATAGAAAATTCAAAAATACATGTGCTTGCACAGGAGGGGGGAATGAAAATGCTCTGCCCATGGACACAAATAACCAGCAAAAATTCAAAAATATGTGCGCTCGCTAAGGCGCAGGAATGATAATGCTATGCTGAAGAGTTTCTGCAACTTTCAAAATTGCTCCTTCAAGTTGATGCAGAAAAGATAAAAAATCAGGGGCAAGCCCATCAACCAAAAAAACAGCACACCCAAAAAAGATTGTCACAGCACATCTGCTTCTCATCAGGATGTGCAGAGATCTGGGACTGGAATCTGGGCCAATGGCATGCTCTTCCCTGCAAGAAGCCATACTTGTGGTCGTCATTATGGCTTGGTTCATGCCTTCCATCCCTGAACATAGCACCAGTGGGGTCTGGTCCTAACTGGGCTGAACCACAAGTAAAACATAATGTGAAAAGTGGATATCTTCTCTTCCTTTCTCTATGTCTATGCTTGCTGGTGATACACAACTGGACTGCCGCCCCCCCGAGTAGATGGGCCTCGCTTGTTCAAACACAAAAAAAGGAGAAAAAGAAAAGCCGATTATCGCCGCTCATGTGAATAGCCCCCCAAAACCAATAAAACACCACCCAATTGGGGCTGGCAATGCAGTCATTCTGAGAAAACTGTTTGAGGCCACTTTCACGCAAACCTAAGGAGTGCGCTTACCTATATCCGGTTGAGAGCACTTGGCTTCTGGCCTGGGCCAGTAGCAAAAGTGGCAGGCCACTTTGAAAAGGCACAGTCGCAGGCTCGCAAGGCTTGGAAGGCGGCTTCGTCAACTTAGGCTCGTGTGAGCTGGTGGTTCAAAGGATGTCCCGAAGGACAAACCTTTGTGGTTTAGGAATATCCCTAAACCCCAAAATGACAACCAGAATTTGGGCACTGACAACCAGTAAGTCCGGCACCTCCCTAACAGTAATGGAATGACACAATTAAATCCCATCACCCCTTCATTTCACATTGATGGTATGGTCCGGCTTGGAAAGCATGAAATCTCGTTGCGAGACTCACTATTTCATGCCAACTTAGCACGGACATAGCACCAATAAGACATGGCTTTGCAATTTCCAGTGGAGCGCGCTTAGACCGTATGCCTGTTCCTTTGGGGCAAGGTGCCACACACCTGGATTCTCTATTTCTGGCCATCGATCTTGCGATGTATTGCCAGAAACGAGAACTGGCGCCAGTGGAACCTCGCCGCTGAGGCGGCGTAGTGGGCTGAGTCAGCAGGAGCCATTTTGTGGGGAAGCGGCGAGCGCACCGCCGACCAATCAATCCAGTTTCAGTCAAACGAAAAGGAGTCGATATCGCGTTTTCTGGTTTCGCCTGCTGGCTCTAGTTCCGGTTAAGAGGGGAAGAAATGGGCGGAGGTTCTGACCAAGGTTGCGTTCACACGAGGATATCCCTGACGGGTTGGTTGACTTTCCTATGGGTAGTTTATCTTGGGTCACGGTTTTCCTGACGACTACGTCTCGTCTTGTTTAACAGTTTCTCCCAGGCGAGCGAAGCACGGGTAATGCTGTTGTTCATCAGCGAGTTGTTCTCCGTTCACACGAGGCGGGAAAGGAAAAACCGTTTTCGCACGCGGGGAACGGGTGGCAGGTATTGCTCACATGGTATTCTCTTGTTAGTGTGCTGTCCTTGCGGCGGGAAGTGGTTGGGGTGCTGGGGTGGGTGGGTGTTGTGCTCCTACTGGGTTCGACTCGCCCTGACACGCACTGTTGACGAGGGAAGGGGTGTGGAGTTTCCGTACGGCGGTTTCAATTCGGGGTTCGTGTTTCCCGCCGCCCTTGGAATGGCTTCGTGTTTAGCCGCCTTGTTCGGTTTAGCTTCGGTTTGGGTTACTGTAGGTTCGGCATAGGTTTGGCAAGCTCGGGGGGGGGGGGGGGGGGGGGGGNGGGTTGGGGAGTGTCTCCCTCCTCTCTCTCTCCCTCTCTCTCTCTCTCTGGAGGAAGGAACTGTTGCAATTGCAACGAACCAGATACTCAGGGGGTCGACGTTGGACTCGATGGCGCGAAGCGCAGTCCACGTGGCAACGGCCAACGGGACAGGAACGGCGTCGCCGAGTTCGAGCGATGGGCCGTCCATGCTGACGTCGATGGGAGCGGCAGACATGGCTGGAGATAGAGACAGGGTAGGAGGAGGAGGAGGAGGAGGTGTTCGTGCGGGCAGCGGTCAAGGTCAAGGCAAAGGGGCGAAGGGATTGACGACGGGAGGAGGTGGCGGTGGCGGCGCGGGGGTTTACTCATCTTCCTCTCCCGTCTCGACTCTAGATGTGCAGCAGGTGACAGTGACGACGGGGGGGGGAATGATACTGGCTACCCCCGGGCGAGGGAGCGATGATGCTATGGCGGCGGGGGGGGCTATGGCGGGCGGGGAGACGACGCCGTCGGGGACGGCGAGATCTCCACTTACGTCTTCCACCTCCGCCACCGCCGGGGCCACGGCCGCCGCAGGCGGCGGTGGCGCGAGCGCACCCCCCGAGGCGGCGGTCAATGGCCACTCCGCGGGGGGGTTCCACACCTCAGCGGCCATGGCGTCGCTGTCGCTTTCCAACGGGGAAGAAGCGCCGTCCTCCGCCAAGCCGCGGCGCAAAAACGTTTCCCTCCCTCTCGATATTAACACCCGCGTGCTCTGCAAGTGGAGAGACGACAAGTTCCACCTTGTGAAGATCATAGAGAAGCGGAAAACCGGGAGCAGCCCCAGCGATTACGAGTATTACGTGCACTACACGGAGTTTAACAGGAGGCTGGACGAATGGGTGACCTTAGATCAGCTGAGTCTGGAGTCGGTGGAGACTGGAGGGGAGGAGAAGCCTGACGACAAAGTGGCCGTGTCCCATCTTCCGTCACGTGGCCACGCAAGCACGACGAAGATGACACGTCAGCAGAAGCGGAAGATAGACGAGACCCACGTGGAAGAAGGACACGAGGACTTCGACGCAGCCAGTTTGCGAGAGCACGAGGAGTTCACCAAAGTGAAGAACATCAGCCGAATCGAGTTGGGGAGGTACGAGGTGGACACGTGGTACTTTTCCCCCTTCCCGCCAGAATTCAGCGACTGCAGCAAGCTGTTTTTCTGCGAGTTTTGCCTTAGTTTCTTGAAAAGGAGAGAGCAACTCTCTAGGCACATGAAGAAGTGCGATCTGAAGCACCCCCCTGGAGACGAGATCTACAGAAACGGGACCCTTTCCATGTTCGAGGTCGACGGCAAGAAGAACAAAGTCTACTGCCAGAACCTCTGCTATTTGGCCAAGCTATTCCTGGATCATAAGACTCTGTACTACGACGTCGATCTTTTCCTCTTCTACATCTTGTGCGAGTGTGATGACAGAGGGTGCCACATGGTGGGGTATTTCTCTAAGGAGAAGCATTCGGAAGAGGGGTACAATCTTGCTTGCATTCTGACTCTGCCACCGTACCAACGCAAAGGATACGGCAAATTCTTGATCGCCTTTTCGTACGAGCTGTCCAAGAAAGAGGGGAAAGTGGGGACCCCAGAGAGGCCTCTGTCGGATCTCGGCTTGCTCAGCTACAGAGGCTACTGGACTAGGGTTCTGTTGGACATCCTCAAGAAACACAAGGGCAACGTGTCCATCAAGGAATTGAGCGACATGACGGCAATCAAGACGGAGGACGTGATCAGTACGCTTCAGTCTCTTGAACTCATTCAGTACAGGAAGGGGCAGCATGTCATTTGCGCGGATCCGAAGTTGTTAGATCGGCATCTCAAGGCGGCTGGACGGCCAGGATTGGAAGTCGATCCGTCCAAGCTTATTTGGACCCCATATAAAGAGCAAGGGGGATGAGAAGCTTATTACTATTTTGCGCCCTCCCGCAATTCTAGGGTTTTCATTCGACCAGACTGATTCGAAGGGGCTGATCCCACACACTACTTAGGAACAACAAGAATCCTCCCAGGACCGAAGAACGTGGACCTGTTTTTTCTTCGGTCCTGGTTTTACGCCGCCTCTGAGCAATATTTCAAACCCTGGTTCCTTTTTTCAAGCATATTCTTTTTGCTCCAGGGGTACTGCTCTGCTCCGCTACGAGCCAAAGGGTTCCGATCGCGATCCCCATTGCTGATCCCGATCCGCATCCCGATCCGATCCCGCTGCCCGTCCCGATCCCCATCCTGATCCCGCTCCCGATCCCGGTCCGGTTGCTGCGCAGCACTCTAGCAAGCCAGGAATGATATGCGATCTTGGCCCGCGCACGATGGTCCGTCCGTCATGCTGCCGCCTGCCTACGCTCTGCTCTGCTCTGCCCTGCTTCGAGCTCGGATTTGTAATCTGATCTGCTGCTATCTTCCAGGTCCATTCTCTTGGTGCGGATGCCCCAAGTCGTGATGTCCAGCTTATTGATCCTGGTCCGGATCCTCGTCCAGGGTCCTGATTTTGGTCCTGATTTTGGTCCTGATTTAGGTCCTGATTTTGGTCCTTGTGCTAGTAGGGACAATCTGTTCTGATTCTGGATTCTGGACCTGGTGCTGGCCGGTCGAGGTGGCATTCAGTGCCGAAAACCTCGATCATGGCAAGTAGAATTGGGACTCACACTCACGTCAGGAACTTTTCAACTGAACTCTGGAGGTAATTGCGGTCAGATACGTCTACCACCTCCAGTAGTTACGGGCAGATACATCTTGTAAAGTCCTTCAGTAGTGCGGGTTTACTCTGAGACGGATGGTTTCATTCCCGGCATAGATGGTCCAAGACCGCGCGCAGATTTTGACACGAGTGCTGACACTTAGGGGAGATTTTGGAGAGCTGCTGGTTGTCCATCCCACCTCTTCCCCCCCCCTCCCCCCCCCTCCTCCCCCCCTCTCCTCCCCCCCACCCTGATCGGTTTCTTGTCGGGGGAGGGAATGTGAAATGCCAGCTGTACTGTCACAACTGTCGCTTTGGGTTCGGATCGTTGGCGAGGGTTTTCCTCCTCCTCCTCCGCGTGGGGCTCCTGAGAGAGACTGCTCCGACATGTTAGCCTCTGCTTCCAATCTCTCTTCTCTTGCCGGTTAAGTAGTCGTGGCGCTGGCGCCTTAGGACGGGCACTTGACTGATGAGCACGTCTCGTCCTGTCGACCACTTACTGGGCTCAACAAGGGGAGAGTTCTAACGGTGTACTCTCGAGGACGAAAGGGACACAATACAAACGAAGCAGCAGAGAAAAACTTCGCGTTGGCCTGAAGGCGTTCGAGCGATGCTATTCGTATGGATATAACTGCCAAGTGGGGATCCCAGGATGTATCTCCGTGCTGGAATTTGGGGGGACTTCATCTAACGGACTCGCACACGACGAACGGCTGGATCTGATTGATGCACGGATCAGTCAGCTGCCGAATGAGTCTGATTGCGACGGTACCAGAGCTGTGAAGTCTATATACATATACATAGAGACTAGGAAAGGACCGTGTGGTCACCTCGGGTACCCTCTCAAACCGGTAGACGGACTTGGCCAGATCTAAAAATAGGACTGGCAACCGAAAAGCCTACGGTATGTCTCAGGGTCCTGTAGCCGTATTGGGCCTCGCAGGAGGGGTAAATGGGGGAATTTGACCGGTTGGAGGAGGAGAATGCGGGGATCATAACGAAAACGCCCTCTCCCTTGGGGATTTTGGAAATTCCAAAATTGTCCTCCTCTTGGGAGTGTCTAATTTCATGACGATGCAGACAGGCGGGGGAATGATTTGTAGTGCGTTGTTGCAGACGTCCTGGGATAGGGCCTCCACCACTCACGACATGCACAAAAGACACAAAATATGCCCGTGCATCTTTCAATGTCCTAGCGGAAGACTCGTTCTCATTTTGCACATTTGGTGAGTCGTGGAGTGTGGACCATAATCTACTACCGCTTGCAATCCCGACTCCTTTTTCCCCCGTCGGATTGGAACTTTGGAATGTTGACCGACCTCTTCTGCTGGTCGGATTTGAACTTTGGATCTGTGTTTATGAGGAGCAGTGGTAATATGTGCGCAGCGCATTCATTCATCGTCCACCTGTTATGGTTGATGTCTAGGCCGGCAGACTTTTTGAAAGTTGGTCATGAGAAGCTTTGCGATGCCACATGATTGTCAAGACCTTATGTTGGCCGGGGTGTATTTTGAAAATTTGACCCTGAGAGGATCGCCTGCCCAGTAATGCAGTGCGAGCTGGCTGGCGTTTACAGACTCGACGATATGCTGAGGAATCACAGTCGTTTCTGGCAAAATCACAGCAATCTACAGTCAACCGAGCAAGAAGATTGACTTATGTCAAACAATGGTGACAGGACTCATGTTGGCCGGGGTTTATTTTGAAAATTTGCCCCTTAGAGGATCGCCTGCCCAGGAATGCAGTGCGAGCTGGCTGGCGTTTACAAACTCGGCGATATGCTGAGGAATCGCAGTCGTTTTTGGCAAAATCACAGCAATCTACAGTCAACCGAGCAAGAAGATTGACTTATGTCAAACAATGGTGACAGGACTCACCGCAACAGACCACGCACGTGTGTGCGGGAGAGTCTGTCATTCTCTTTACTGGCAATGTACTGCGGGGCGGGTGGGTGTGGGTCTTGGAATTGTATCCAATTTTAGACCACCAGTACCTTTGCCTGCTACTTCTTTTCCAATTGTGGCCGTGCGGGGGTCGTGGGCGGATCAGCAGGGTGTCTTTCGGGGGTTGGAGGCTCGGCAGGGCTTGGCGTGCAGGGCAGTAAAGAAGGTGGTGGCCAAAGGTACTGGTGGTTTAACCCATCTGGGTAATTGTGGGGGTCAAAAGGTCGTACACCCCTCTATGCCTCCCCTCTCCCGGGCCTGTTTTCACTGTGGGGCAGTGGAGGGGTTTTAGGGGTTTTAGTAGAGCACGATGCTGATCCAGCCCATGAGTTGGGCAGACTGGTTCACGAGTCAGGCGTCATGAACGTTGCCACGTGGAAATGATGCCTGCACGCATCCTTGCATATACGCTCTGCATGACGGATTGCTTTCTTGCAGGGGGAATCGTTAGCTCTCTGTGTTGTTTGGGCAGAGAGGTGATTTATGGGTCCGTAGTGATGAGCATTCATATGGAAATCCTCTGCCACGTGGCAATGTTGCGCCCATGCTTGCCAGCATGGGTCCTGCGTGATTGCTTTGCTTCCTTGCTCTGCCATCGGGCAATGTGGCCTGCGTCCTTGCAAGCATGGGTCCTCCATGGTGGCCTGCTTTCTTGTTGGGGATTAGCTCGGACGGACGGATTGTGTGGCTGAAGCAGCCGGCCTTGCTTCCTTGCGCTGCCATCGGGCAATGCTGCCTGCGTCCTTGCAAGCATGGGTCCTCTGTGATGGCCTGCTTTCTTGTTGTGAATTATCTCGGACAGACCGATCATGCAGCAGCAGCAGCAGCAGCAGCAAACAAACTCGCGATCAAAAGCCACGAGTTCTTTGTTACAGCAGCAGGTGTCAGTGGTTATGATGGCTGGATGTTGACGTGTTTTCCATCACGGCAGATGGCCTTTGCGAATGTCATGGCTGCTTTTGTTTGTATATGCCACTTAGAATCAGGAGATTCATGTTTACTAGCGTGTTTGCTAGCCTAGCCTAGAGGGAATTGCTCCTGTGTTTATTGCTTTCTGCAAGGTAGTAAAAGGTAAGAGGAGGAGGACTTAGGGACAGGCTGGTGTCAAGAAGGAACTGCCAGTGGACGAGCCGAATGATGCTAGGAGAAGCAGGCGGGAGTGGTGTGGTCCCGTCGTTAACTGGTGCTGCTACACACTGGGTGCTTAGTCCGTTGAATGGGACAACTGCTTGCACGGCGGAGGAGAAGCAGGAGGGAGTGGTGTGTTTTTTGTACTGAACTGGTGCTGCTACATGCTGGGTGCACGGCCTTGTGAATCGGACTGCTTGCATGGCTCAGCAACTTATTTGCGCTACGGATAGTAATGATAAGGTTGCCATGAGACTTGTGCATACTCTGCTCCGAGGAGGGGACCAGGAGGCGCTCTCGTTTGGTCTGTTATGTGGAGAAGAGGAAGGTGTTCATGCTTGCCGTGCTATAAATTTAGCGAGGAGGAGGAGGAGGAGGAAGAAGAGGAGGAGGAGGAGGATGGTAGGGATTGATGAATCTATAAGGAGTATACAAATTACAATGATGTTAAGGATTAGGAGGGCTTGGATGAAGCTGATGATGATAAACATGATGATGATGATGATGATGATGATGATGATGACGAGGAGGAGGAGGAGGAGGAGGAGGAGGAGGAGGAGGAAGGCATTTTGGCGGAGATTTTTACACTTGGGGCTATTGTTTTGGATCAGATATATTACACTGATGAGAACAGATACTACGTTTGATCTCAGTCAAAAGGCGGGGAAAAGTATACTCGGGCATTGTTTTGGAATTGCAGCACAAGTGTTTGAATTCGGACTCCGCAGAAGTGTTTGAATCCGGACTCCGGAGAAGTGGTGGAATTTGGACGGCAAATGTGTACAGTCTAGATGGGCTGAAGGATTGCTACGTGTCCGATGTGGACGAGACAGTGGAAAGTTCATCTGACAAGCGTTGTTCCTCTCGAGCACCACCAGTACCACTCATGCGGGGATTTCATTGGGCCGCTGCAGTTTTTCATCGGGGCGCTGCAATTTTTCATCGGGCCGCTGCGGCTATTGATCGAGCCGCTGGTAGAATGGGGCATACTCACAGTCGGACTTTTTCTGGCTGTAGCTGAATGTATTTACGAGTACACTCAGTCCAAAGGGTCCTAGTGTCATGACAACCCTCTCTCTCTCTCTCTCTCTCTCTCTCTCTCTCTCTCTCTCTCTCTCTCTCTCTCTCTCTCTCTCTCTCTCTCTCTC